ATCCATGGGAAGAACAGCGAGGAAATGATTATTCCAGCAGGAGGGAGGGCACACTGGGGAAAGAGCTCACATGGTGGGGCCTCTGGGGTGCTGTGAACCTTTGTCACCATCCCCAAGTGATCCAGGATTCACCTACGTGCACTCCTGTGGAGAGAGGTCAAGTCCTCCTTTGGGGGACAATGGGAGCATCACCCATCTCCCATAACCTCTTCCATGTCACTGCCCAGAAAGAAGCTTACTGAGTTGGGTAGGTACGTCTCACAGCTCCGCAAGGCTGAGCGGCTATGGTTGTTGTCCAAGGTACCAACCGGAAGGATGCCCACCAAAGCCAGTTTCAATACTGATTCCAACTCAAGAGGTACCCTCGGCTACATAGTGGGATCAAGGGTAGCCTGGGTTACATGACACTCTGTTTCAAAATAAAAACCCCTAGCCCTCCCCCCAGAAAAAGGAAAGAAAAAATTACTCTCTCTGAAGGCTACTTTCCACTCAAATTTTGACAAGGGTTCTGCCAGCTTCGGCCACTTTCCCCTGCTCTCCCTAAATCCCTGATTACATTTTCTATGCAAGCTGACCCGTCTCTTCCTGCAACCCAAACAGATGTTTCTTATCACCTCTGGACCTCTGTTTTATTTGTTGAGGGAGGGTCTCACTCAGGTTGCCCCAGACTCCTGGACTGGGTTTACAAGGGTCATCAGTAGACCCGGTTTTAAAAACTTATATGTTTAGTATCATGTATAAAGGGGTTTGCCACTGTTGCCCTAAGTTTGGTCCCTAGGACCAATATGGTGGAAGGAGAACAATTACTCCTGCAGGTACTCTGACCAGCACACTCACGCTGTGGTGAGGTGAGGTCGACAGAGACCTGGGCAAAGTGAGCAGCTTGGAAACAAGGCCCAGGATCCAGCTCCTCCCAAGTGCCCCAACTGTCCCTAGATCCCTCACACAGTCCCCTCCTCCCCTGGTCATTCTGACACTCCTTCCTCCACTGCTCACTGCATACGTGGCTCCTTCTGATGTCACAGCCCCACCCCAGGAAACTGAGAATGGGGTGGAATGTGGGGGTCTCCTGTTTGTTTTAATTTTATTTTTGTTGTTTTGAGACAGGGTTTCTCTGGTTGTCCTGGAACTCATTTTGTAGACCAAGTTGGTCTTGAACTCACAGAGATCCACTTGCCTCTGCCTCTTGAGTGCTGGGATTAAAGGTATGTGCCGCCATCACCTGGCTTTATTTATTTGTGTTCATGTTATTTACTTTTGAGATAAGGTTTCATGTAGTCCAGGCTGGTCTTGAGCTCTTTCTGCAGTCAAGAATAACTCTGAACTTGTTTGTTTTTGAGGCACGGTTCCTTTGCATAGCCCGGGCTGTTCTGGAACTCACTCTGTAGACCAGAATGATCTCAAACCCAGAGATCCGCATGCTCTGCCTTCAAAGTGCCACCACAGTCGGACTGACTTTGAACTTCTGATTCTCCTGCCTCCACTCCCAAATCATAGGATTACATGCGCTCACTGCCACACCCAGATTGTGTGTTGCTGGGAAACACACTCGGTGCCGGGTACTGTGCTGAGCTACGTCACTGGTCCTTTTCTGTTTGTGAGATGGAGCCTCACTTTGGCATGACTGTATCAGGCCACTCTTCTTCCCAGACCAAGAGGGAAAAAATGCCAGCATGTCAGTCATGACTCCTCCAGCTTCTTGCCCTACGTCACAAAGATGGGAACACATGGGCCTGCATCCTTGAGATGCATCATGAGGACCCTGGGACTGACCATGACTGTTTCTATCAGAGCTACCACTCCTGTGAAGTCAAAGAAGCCAGCATTCAAAGCATAGCCGGGGCCATAGGAACCATCTTTGGGGGTAGAGAGGTGAGGGCTGAGGCCCTGGAAAAGCCCCACTGCATGTCTTTGACAGACACAGGGACATGTCCCTTGGGACCCTGACTCTTTCTCTGCTGGTTCTATGAGTTCTCAGAGAAGAAGAGAAGGAGGATTTTGAGGGACTATGACCCATCCTCTCTTCCTACGGAAGTTCCAAAGGTTCCAGTCTCATTTGCCTCTATGGTTGTGGGAGGGGCACTGAGGGTAAAGGTGGGGGTGAAACAGGTACACAAGAACAGAGGGAAAACCCAAGTCAAGTAAAGCAGAGAGGAATGCAGAGAGAGAAAAAATTGGGTGTGGGGGCTGGAAGCTAGAACAGAGGGATGCATGAAGTCTTTGACTCCCTTGGGGAAGAGGCCACAATAAAGGGAAGGAGGGAGTCAAAGGGAAAGATAGAGGGGATGAGGCAGAGAGGAGACAAAGAGAGGAGAGAAAGGGAAGAGAGAGAACATGCCACGCACTTGACATGGGGCCAGGGACCTTTTGTAAATTGCTTGCCCGACACTCTCCTCCTGGCCCATCACAGCAGCATTCCCTTGGGGCGTGAGGTGCTGTCCCTGGTCCTACAGAGCTGACACAAACACGCAAATGTGGGAAGCCAGGTCAGCTTCCACCCATGTCCTTCTCTCTTCATCCGGCTGCTTCCCAGAAGGCCTAGTTCGGTGAGCAGGAACACAGGCATGACCTCAGAGGTGTGGGAAGGGCCGTGGAGCGGGGTACCTGCCCCTCAGGTACCAAGCTGCTGACACCCACCTGTTATTGTTCCTGCTCTCTGGTTCTTCTGACTTTGGTCAATGTCTCCCTCACTACGGCCTTCATCTGTTGCCCATACCAACACCCTCCTGCTCTGCTGCTGCTACCTAAGGCCCCCGTACCACTTTCTGCTCCCTGTCGGGTTTGGGGTTAGGGACGGGAGGCAAGCGCCTAGGTGGGGGTGGGAGGCTCCACTGGGTACGTGATACGGACCTGCTGACACGGATGAGGAAGAGGAGGGGGTCTTGCTGATGGATGATGCTGATTCTTTGGTGAGGGGATAGTAGTGGAGGGGGTGAAGGCAGGGTGGGGGATGGGTGGTGAGGAAGCAGGGTTGGGGGGGTAGCAGGACCAGGCTCACATTTGCCATTCAGGGCAGCTGACAATAAAAATGCTTTATTGCCAAGAAACTGGATCGATCGGGGCTGGAGGGGGCCGGCAGGGGGGACGCGGAGGGCTCAGCACAGAGGCCGGCGGCCCGGCCTCCGCAGCGACCAGGGCCCCAGCCGCCCTCCCCCCTGTGCCCCCCTCCCCGCCTCCTGCCCTTTCTCTCTCCTGCAGCCACCGCTTAGTTCTTATTATATTTTTTCTTATATATTTTTCCCCCAGCTTCTCCTGCTCCTGTTTTTTTTTTCTTTTAATTTTTTTTTTAAAAACTCACTGCACTCCCAATGCTGCAGGCTGGGTGGGGGTGTGGTGGGGCATCTGCCCAGGCTAGGTCCTACCCACTGGCTTCTAGGGCTGTTCTCTATGGAGGAACCCCCACTTTAACTTCATAACCCTAGTGCTGGTTTATTAAGCTCCCCCAAAGCCTGGCCCCACATGTACCTTCCTCTCCCACCATCCTTCCTAAGGACTTCCTTCTAACTTAGGAGTACCCCCACATGAACTGTGAGGGGCTCAGGGCCCTAGACAGACTCCCTCCCCCCTCCCCCATACCTGCCCCCTTGCATCCTCGTGGAACCATTTGGCTGATGGTCAGAACTGTCCGTCAAGGGGGCTCTGAGCCCCTGAGGACTCAGATGGGAGGAGGGAGGGGAGAGGTCGAGGGTCAGGCCACGTCCCCTCAGCTCATCTCTCTCCCCTCCCCCTTCCTAACAAAGGGAACAGCAGACCATCGCTGGAGGGGGGGTGCTGCCTGGTAGTCAGAGGGAATCCAGAGAGGGACTGTGGATGGCCATGGGCAGGAGGCAGGGTGAGGGCAGCCTGCCCCTCCTCTGCCCGCCCCCTCGGGTCAAGGCTAAGGTGATTCCTCAACCTATCTAGGCTGGGAGGGGAGGAGGGTCTTGAAGACAAAGAACAGGAGCCCTGGGAGTTGGGGGCCTCCAGGAGAGCACCTGGGACCCACAGTCTTGACTGAGGGAGGGACAGCAAGCACCCCGTGGCCCTAGCTCCCCCCCCCCGTGGCTCTGCCTCCCATCTGCACCAATCCCTCTGGATCTCAGAGCTAAGGCAGGATTTGGTTGAGGTTAAGGGGGAAACTGAGGTGCAAAGAAGGGAAACAGCATCACAGGGAGAACGCAGGATGCAGGTGCAGCCCTAGGGTTTCCGGCCCCATTCTTGACTCTCTGCTTGTCAACCTAGCAAGGGGAGACACCTTCTCTTCCGGTCAGGGTGGGTCCTTGAAGAGGGCAGGTAACAGAAGGTTGTGGGAAGAGAGGAGACTGAAGGGGAGTGGGAGAGGTTAAGTCCTGTGTTACAGGTCAGTCAGGGAGGCTGAGGGACTAGCTGAAAAGGCCAAAGACCTCCCCTGCCCTCCTCCACCACCCCCAGTACCTGGGAAGAGACCTCAGAGAGGGTTCTGTCCTGCTGTTGTCACACAGCAAATGTGACTCACGGTCTGGTCTGCCCTAACAGGACATGCCTTGAGGCCTCCTATCTGCCCAGCCTGACTACAGTTGGCAAAAAGGAGCCGTGGCTGGCAGCCATCCTGCCTGTGGGGATAAAGAGTCTGGAAAACAAGAAGAAATGCCCAAATGCTGGGCACTTAAATTCTCCTACCGAGACTGAGGGGGCTCCTGGGGAGAAAGAGAGCCAGAGCCAAAGGAAGTGGGGGGACATGGCATACCTCTTTTGGAGGGGTGGCTCAAATATGCTCCACAGCCTGCTCAGGAGGCCCTAGATGTACCCAGGAATAAGGGGTCCCGGCTGCCCTCCCCCCAAACCTCCCCTCCCTTCTCTCCCTCTCTTTCTCGCTGGCTATCGACCGACCAGGCTGTGACATGGTGGATCAATACAGCAGGGATATAAAGCCGGCTGGCTGGCTGCCTGCCTCTGCCTCTCTCTCTCCCTTGCTTCTCTTCCTTTTCTTTCCCGGAGCCGCACCCAGGCCCCCCACCTCGTGTACCCCTTACCCCTACCTCCGAGGGGCCAGCCTCCACTCCATACTCCTCTACTGCAGGGGAGTTTAGGGGGGCTGAGAGCTTGGAGAGCCAGGAGAGGGGGTGAGTATGAGGGTGGGTAGGGAAGCAGATGGGCGTGGGGGGTTCACACTTGCAGGTCAGGTGGCTGGGATAAACTGAGGACCGGTCCTTTAGGAAGAAAGCGAGCACCCTCTCGGTTGGTCGGGAGCAGCTCAGGGAGATAGGGCCCTTTGAAGGGCCCATGTGAGGGCGAGGGCTGAAGCCCTTGGGAGGCGGGTAGGATCCCTGGCTGGAGGTGGGGGTGAGGAGATGCTTTCCTGGGCCTGTGGAACAAGGGAAGGAAGAAGGCCTGGGTGCTGGAGTTGGAAGGACGAGTGGGCAAAAGCAAGAGTGGACAAGCCTGCCGCCTACCCACAGAACCATAGCTATCCCACTCTGTGGGTCCCCATGGGTTGAAACCACCTTGCCCTCACCCCAGGTTATGGGAGGAATGTGCTGGGGTGGGAGTTGGGTTCTCTTAGGGTGTCAGACAGGAGGAGGTCCCAGCTAAAGGGCTGTGGAGTCCGAATTGCCGCTGTATATGTAAGGTGTACGCAGGTCGTTAAGCGGTGTGGGAGGGGGACTCCAGAACTGTCTCCTGACTGCCCTGACCCTCTAGTCATACCTGTGTGTGACTGTGAGTCTGTGAGGTTTGTCTAGGAGACACAAGGGGTTGTGTGTGTATATCCATGATGTCTCCCTGACACTGGGTGTCCCCAAATGTCCGTGTGGCCCTTGGGAAGAAGTGGATGGATCCCAAGAGGATATCCTCCATTCCTAGGAAGGGTGGTGGCTCTGTGTTCCTGTGTTCTCTAGTAAGTTAGCAAGTCCATGTCCCTGGGGGAATGTCTGAGTGTCTACTTGTCCCTGTGTCTGCATCAGTGGGTGGCTGTCCCTCCCTGTGCTTTGGAGCCTGTATGGTCCTCTCGATGTGTATTGAACGGAGGTTCTGATTGAGCCATGGAGACTCCACTGGGTTCTTTGTGTGTCTACCTGGTCCAGATGCCCTGTGTGTCGGTGGCCAAGTGAGTTCCCATGAGTGGGATGGAGGCTCTGAGTGTGTCCCCTGTGTGTGTCATGGTGACTCAGTGCACATACCAGGGGTAGAGCTCACGTCCCTGAGTCTGGGGGAAGGGGTGAAGCAGCAGAGGCACTGGCTAGTGAGGTCTATCCTACATCACCTTTACATAGAGTATAAAGACCCGTCCGCCTTCTTTCTTTCCCTGCCAGAGGCCCCAGACCCCTGCCAGCATGGCCTCAGGCTCCCTCCCTTCCTTCTCCTACCTTGGGCAGGGTGCCCCTCTATTCCTCAGCATCCTCTGCTTTGGTGGACACTACCTCAACTCCACCAAGCGACCTCCGTCCCTCCCAACCCCCCCAGCGCCACCCGCTCCCCCCGCCCTCCCCCCACCACAAGTCCAGTCCAACCCAGACAAAAGCAATTACTCCTGAGGTAGGATGTGAGTGTGGGTGTTAGAAACAGAAAAAAAAATAGTGGGGGGAAGGGAGGGGGAGGGAGACACACACACAGAGGCAGGGATGGTCAGCTAGAGTCCTGGAGAGACAGGGATGAAGAAAAAGACGGACAGAGGTGGGGGCCACCCAGAGCTACGCACGGACAGAAGCCGAGAGATCAGGATGGACAGAGACACAATGTCCAGGATACAGAGGCAGAAGGAAAAAACCATGGAAGGCCAAGTAGAGAGACCACGCCAGACAGACAGAAAAAGAGATCAGGGGACGCAGAGATGCAAGAATGAGAACAGTGAACTGCACAGGAGGAGGAAGACGGGGGAGACAACCAGATGAGGACATAGGGAGCCCCAGAAAGGACAGCTAGAAAACAGAGAGGGAGAGACACGAAGGCTAAGAATGGGATCCGACAGAAGTCCAGAGCAGCCACTAGCGATGGAGTAAGGACCCCAGATCGCCAAAGACAGGGAGGACAAGTTCAGAGCCCTCTCCCTGCCGTAAACACAGTTTTCTCCTCAACCCCTAGGCCAGAAGGCAGGTGTCACCCAGTCCTCCCCATAGTCTTTGGTCCCCCAGAACTGGAGCAAGGAGGGGGTAGGGTGGATAGTGGGTCTCAGGTACCAGCTGGGAGCAGTGTGTCCTCCCTACCAACACACCAGCAGCTAAGGTCACATGCCCTATGCCACATCATTGACACTCCACCAAACACCAGTGAGGACACCGGAGCCTCTGGCATGAGGCACTTCCTTCCTGCCTCACAGCTATGCCCTCCACCTCCGATGCCCCTAGCCCCCCATCTCCCTCCTCCATGTCTATCAAGCTGGTGGCTTTGTCCCACCTACAGTGTGTCTTCCTGAGCTCTGGCTCAGAAGAGAACTTCCTGCCCTTCCTAGTGTCTTTACTCTGCTTTCCTGTCTCTGCCCCACCCACTTCCACTGCCCCCCTTCTCTTTGCTCTTCTTAAGAGCTCCCCCCATTTCTCCAATGTCAGATGATGACCCCTCTGAACCCCTTGTTGGCCATGTGTCTCAAGAAGAGCGCACTTCCCAATCCTCCCCAAGCCCCACGCCCCACCCACCAAAAAGCTGTCCCAGAGTGTAGTCAGGGGCAGAGGAAGCCACCTCCCTTCTTTGTTTTTCTTCAGTGCCTTGTTCCTTCTCCCTGTCCTTGACACCCTCGTCCCCTGCCAGGCCCCACATCTCCATTTGGCTCTCTCTGAGACCAGAAGCTAAAATTCTCTTCATACACCTCCAGGCTCAGAGGAAGAAGAAGCACAGAAGAAGGGACGGAGTGGCAGACAGACATTCAGACAAGGTCTGACGGAGTGGGATGAAAAGCAAGTGAGAGGCATGAAGAGCGGGAACACAGAGGGAAGCTGAAGAAGCAGAGGAAGGGAGGACAGAAGGCCGGAATGGAGACCTGTGGTGGTGAGCTGGACATCGGCACTCAGTGGGATTCCCAATGGGCCTTACACAGAGCTCCCAGGGTTACTCTGAGGTTGGCTTCTGCTGTGGAAGGGGCTTTGAACTTACAGCCTGCCTTCATTTGTGGCGGGACTGTCCAAGATTCCAGCAGCTCACCGATCCTAGCCTGCCAAAAGAGGTGAGCTTTCTATTTCCCACCTCCCTCACATCTGTAAGCCTCACTCTGTGGGTAAGAGACACTCCCAAATTACAGCTGTCTCCACCTGCCCTGCCTGGAGACACCAACCACAAAGGTACCTCCTAGTATCCCCTGCCCTCAAGCCTGGACTTCACATCCAGTAACGGATGCTGCCCATTGACACTGTGGGTCTGGCACACTGCCGCGAGGGGAGCTATCCCATCCCCCAAGCAAGAGCGCTGAAGCCCCATCTCTGGCCCCTCAGTAAGCCACAAAGGTCACAGCACACACCCTAGTGCTAAAGTCAAGGCCCACCCCACCCCCATACGGCAGATGCGGCTCAAAAGGAGGCTGATTGGACCTGGAGATCTGGAAAAATTGCCAGCCCACCTGCTGGGCCACTGTCTTAGCTACACCCACTGTTATCCCACTTTCACCTGCGGGAGACACCCCCACCCAGTCACCGAAGACTGCCTCACACAGCCCTGGGTTATTCCAAGTTGCTCCAAGACTTGCCACCCCTACAACTGAGCTCGGACTCCTCCTACTCCTCCGATCTTCAGGGCTCCTGCAGGGGAGTATAAGAGTCTCAGGGACGTCCGTCCCTTAGTCTATGCTCACCCCCTCTGTGATCCTGTCACCTCCATGTTTGCCCGCTGTACTCTCCTGCGCATGGATGGGGGCAGAAGGGAGGACAGTAATTCAGCCCTATTCCTGTCTTGGCATTCAGAGGGCATCAGCCCCGCGGGACTGTAAGGCCGCGCCAGCGTGCACCCATCCACAAGTCTGTCACCATTATCACTTCCTTCCCGCTAGAGCTAAACTTACTTTGGTTTCTCTTAGCCCTTCAAGAACTCCCTCCCAAAGATACCCCAGAGGCTTTGGGTAGATCATCTAACCGTTCTCTCTCTCTCCTCTGACCCAACAGCTAGCAGCCCCAGACTCAAGTCGATAAAGTTTGTGCCTGATTCTTCCCGCCCAGGAACTCCTCTGAGACCTCAGACATCCTTCTTCTTCTCAGCTTGTCAGGGCCGAGTATGTGAGAAATTCACCGGGTGGGGCAGGGGTGCTGCAGCAATAAATGGATAGATGTGGATTCGGCTGTGTGTGTGTTTGCTCCTTCATTGACATACCTGGAACTGACTGCAGACACATAGACAAACAGAGGACTCTCCTCCTCACGAAGCTTACCGGGAGACAGGAGATGCTAAAGCCAAGGGCCAATCAGGGGTGAAGCAGCCCAGGAATGGGGGTGGGGCTGCCCAGGGCACAGTGCCTTAGATCGAAAGATTCAAAGCCAGTTCACAAGAAACTCCAACAGCCAAATTCCTCTCTACTGTATGGCTGTCCGGTTTTAGCCAAGCCCTTCCACGTAAGTTAAGCCTAACTGTTGTTAAATCTGACTCTATTCTCTGGGAAGAAATTCACTCCCAAAGCACAGAGACCTGCAGGGTTTCCGACATCGTGGTGGGATTCAGCGGGGGTAGAAGAACGAGAGCTTTAACATTCAGGCAGTTCTGAGGTTGAATTCCGCCTCTGCCGTTGACAAGCTGAGTGAGTGACTTCGGGCAACAGAGAACCAACTTCTAGCGTCCTCAGAGCCAGCCGCTAACCCCAAACTGACAGCAGCTCCATAGAGCCTCCCTCCAACATCCAGAGCATCTGAGAACATGAGAACCCTGGGAAAGATGTTATGTGACTCCTTGCAGAGGCTGGGCATGTGGTTCATGCCTGGAATCTTAGTAAGACCCTGAGGCAGGAGGATTTAGAGTTTGAGGTTGACCTGGGCTACATACATCGGAAGGAAGAAGAGACAGACGGGTGAATGGATAGATAGTCAGAGAGACAGACAGTAAGTAAGGTACCCACACAGTTGCCAGCTGAGACAAGAGCTCGTGGATTGTGGTGGGTGTGACTACCCACGAGTCACACTTCTTGGCGGGTGTGAATACCCCCCAAGTCACCAAACAACTGGGTACATACAGGTAAGTGTTTTCCTGTGTCCCAGGCTGTTAACTATTGTAAAACACATTTATGAGCCTGAAAAGTGGTTTGGGCCACAAAGAACTTTTTTAAAATTTGACATTAGTTGTCAACATTAAAAAACTGGAAGATGAACGCCGGGCGGTGGTGGCGCACGCCTTTAATCCCAGCACTCGGGAGGCAGAGGCAGGCGGATCTCTGGGAGTTCGAGGCCAGCCTGGTCTACAAGAGCTAGTTCCAGGACAGGAACCAAAAGCTACGGAGAAACCCTGTCTCGAAAAAAAAAAAAAAACTGGAAGATGAGATTCCCATAAAAAATTGTTTTTATTACTTTTTTTCCCTCTCATTTTTCTCTTTGGGACAGGATCTCACGTAGCCCAAGCTGACCTCAAACTCACGAAGTAACCAAAGATGACCTTGGACTTCTGACCCTCCTGCCTCCGCCTCTGGGTGCCGGGATGGTAGGTACACAGATTTCCTGCAGCACTGAGGACGGAAACCAGGGCTTGGTGCATGCCGATTGAGCAGGGCAGTGTGCTCACCGAGCTGAAACCTCAGCCTTTTATTCCTCCAGAAAACTCAAATCCAAGCGACTCAGAGCTGTCTGAATGTGAACAAGAAGCTTCCCCTCCCTATGATCCAGTCCACCATGATCCCTGCCACACCGGACAAACGACCAACATGAGCTATAGCGCTCCTCAGCTTCCCAGAGGGCACCTGTGGTTCAGGGACAGCAGACAGGAGGACTGTAAGGGTGGCAGGTGGCTCTCCGGGATCCTGCAGCCTTTGGGTTCAGCTGCTCTAGCTAAAATAGGGGTGGTAGTATAATGGGGTCCCACTTCACAGAACTCACTCCCCCCCCCCCAGGCCACTCATTGCCAGGTGAAGGTACGGGGGAGGGGTGGCACGGTATGTCAAACTGAGTAGAGCCAACAGCAGGGCAAATGCCTACGCCTGTGGTTCCCACAGCACTGAACCCCCCCAGGGAGTCCTGGTTTCATTCTGGGAGCCTTGCTGGGCTCCAAGAATCCCAGAATCCTGATTTGTTCAGGGGGTGGGGATGCGACCAGCTGTGTCTGCAGCTCCCACTGTCTGCCTGGGTCTCCACATGCTTTGGAGGGTGGCTTCTCTCATCTCCACATCTCACTGTGATGTGGGTTGGGAATCCCCACCTTTGATAGAGAGGAAAACTGAACCACACCTGCAATCACACAATCTGTCTGTCTGTCTGTCTGCCCTCAATTATACTGCTTAAGGTGGGTGGGCTAAAATCTGATATCCTCATTTAAAACGTTCAAATTACACTTATTTATCTGTTTGTGTGTGTGTGTGGTGTGTGTGAGTGTGTAGGGGGTGCACATGCTAGGATTGGTGTGTGGAGCTCAGAGGACCACTTGCAGGAGTTGGTTCTCTCCTTCTACCACATGCATCCAGAGATTGACTGGGGTCCGCCAGGCTCAGTGGCGGGCACTCTTGCCCACTGAGTCATCTCGCCAGCCCCTGTTTTCATTTATAGATGACAGCATGGCAGCCCCAACTTTCTCAAATCCCCGAAATCCCCGAAATGTAAACTGAGGCACCACAGTCCACTGTCACCAACACTCAGAAACACCTGTTTGGCCAGGAAACCAGAATGTTCTGAGGAAATAAAAATGCCAGAGAGATGAAGTCCCGGGGACACAGAAATAGCATGGAAAATCGTGACCACCTCCAAGGGGATGCCAGGGACAAGGACTCGGGAAAGCAAGAAGCATAGAAATACGCAGCTCACAAGCCACAGCTCTTACCTCTTGGGCAGACACAGCAAAGCTAATACATTCAGGCCACCAACCCGGTCCAGCCGAGAACCTGGAGGAAGAGAGCATAGGGTCAAGGTCCCTGGGCAGTGAACTGGGTCTCATGTAGGATGAGGTTCCCCTTGAGTAGAGGGACCCTCCTCCTGTCTCCCCATCAACAAATCCACAGACGTGGGGACAAGTCCCCGGGACTCAGATCCTCCTGAGTTGTTCTCAGTGACCACTTCTGGCCCCCAAGACTCGACGTTCCCATCCTATATGGGCATCCTGATGCCCACCCTTGTTAGATGCCATCAGATGGGAAATCTGTTGTTGCTGTTTTGGTTTTAAATTTTATATATGCATTTTGTGTGTCTGCATATGTGCATGAATAGGACACATGTCAAAGGACATGGAGCACAGACCAAAGGACCACTTTCAGGAATTGTTTTCTCATTTTGCTTGGGTTCAATCCATTGGGCTTTGTGGCAAGTGCTTCTACACACTGAACCATATCTCTCCACCCTTGTTTTGATTTTGAGACAGGATCTCACCATGCATCTCCAGCTGGCCTGGCCGTGTAGACCAGGCTGGCCTAATTCACAGAGATCTGTTTCTGCCTCCCCAGTGCTGGGATTAAAGGCATGCACCACCACACTTGGCCCTATTAATTTATTTGAGACAATCTTTCTATGCTGCTATGTAGCCCAGGTTGGCCTCATCTCATGAGCCTCCTCCCCCAGCCTCCTGAGCACTTACTGGGATTACAGTGTCTGTCATACTCTGCTTCGGGAAGTTCCTGGAAGAACGGGGAACTTCACCTTGCAGCGCTGTTAGCATTTGGCAGTGAACCCAGCAAATTTGACGCCTTTATAAGGTCACAAATGACGGCAGAGTAAATCATAAATTGATGGATGAATAAATTAATTAATTAGCCAACTGTATCTTAAAGTAGTGCTGGCAATACCTGGTGAGAATTAATTTCAAAGGGTTGATGGTTATGAAGTGCCTGGCGGGGCAGTGTAAGTGTGAGTATGTGGCATTTCTGACTTGTACACTTGTGTATTCAATTATTCATTTGTGCAACAAATATTTCCATCCCTCTTTCCCTCTCTCCTTCCTTTTCTTCCTCCTCCCTTCCTACCTCTCTTAGAGACAGGACCTCATATTTAGCCCAGGCCGACCTCAAACTCACAATCCTCCTGCCTTAGCATCACCAGTGCTGGGAATGCAGGCTTATGCCACTGTGTTTGGCAAGATGTTGAGGTTTTCTAAAGTGCCTCTGACCCAAGTGTGGGAGTCAAGGCACTGGTTAGAACAGACATCTGCCTGCCCTCCCGATGCTCACAGGCAAGTTGAGAAGACAAGACCTAGAGTTGCCATCAATGTGCTGTGGGAAGGTGGAAGGTGCTGGCGAATCCTAGTGGAGGACAGCAGAGGGACGCAGCCATAGCCAAGCTAAAGCTAGAAAGTGAAATGAACTTTGGTCCAGGTTGGCAAGAAATACTGGCTTCTAAGCCTCCTCAGAGTCCTGTGGGATGGAAGACAGGCTCCATGTCCTCCACTCTGCAGGTAGGGCAGCCTACATCGAGAGCAGGTGCAGGGGTAAGCTTGGGTCTCCCTACCTGTGACTGAAACTTGGTTTCCCATCTCCTGGAGATGCAGGCTTCTTGGGAAAGCTACCCAAGCCCATGTAAAGATCATTCTGGCTTCTGCCCTTTGTGGGCATTTAAGGAAGGGATGGGACTGCAGGATAGTGGGGTTTTCCATCAGTGACAAACTCTCTGGGAGGCTTCCCTGCAGACAGATACTGAGAAGTAGACAGTGAGCTATGTGGGTAGGTGGAGGCTAGCTGGGCAGGGCAGCTCCCACATTAGCAGGTAGGAGCCTAAGGCCAAGAGGGATCCGAGTTCAAGACCAGCTTGGCTATATAGCAAGATTCTGTCTCAGAGTAAGAAGATGGGGAAATCGCTCAGTCAGCAAAGTGCTGACCACAAGAGCATCCCCAGAACCCATATATAAAAGCACGGAGTGCTGTTCAAAATTCCAGTGCTGGAGAGGCAGAGAGGCAGGAGAATCACTGGCCAGCCAGCCTAAAATAATCCCTGTGAGAGATCTGGGAGAGCCTCAGATCACAGAGAGAGACTCTGTCTCAAAAGACAAGGTGGATACTTCCTAAGGAATGACACCCAAGACCTCCACAACAACCGATACACACACACACACACACACACACACATCCCTAAGATAGACATGTACCCACCACATACATGTGCATTCATCCCCACCTATACACAC